TTTTTATTTTTTTGTTTTTTAATTTTTGTATTACATGGTAAGAATTTTTTAGAGCTGGTTTTGGCTTTAGTTCTGAAGTCAAAAAAATAACATGAAATATTTCACTACAGTTACTCAATGAATGGATATCTTACTTTAAAATTAACTTCTATTTATTCAATTTTCGCCAATCTTTAATCGCGGAATCCACTAAAAAAAGTTTCTTTAAATATTGAATTTTTGTATGTGAAGTCAAGGCAAAAGTGTCAGCTTTACTTTAGAGTCATTCCCCCTTAATATGCAAATTTTAGCTATAGTTATCCTCGTCTGCTATTTTTACACAAAATATGTGTTTATTTATCCCAAAAAACTGCAGACGGCCGCCCGCTATGTGCGCAAAAAGCGTCGCACGCTGCGCAAGATTATGAACTTTGCGCTGAATCGTGAGGGCGGTGGCATCTACATGAGCCATACGGCCGGACAATGGCTATTCGATGGGTTTTACGACTCGCTTATTGACTTTGTTGAGCGTCTGCACTCGCCGCTGTTGCCCATATTTAGCGACCATTTCGGCTGGTTCTATCAGCGCAACAATTCGAAGACGGCCGAGGGAAATTTCACAATACACACGGGCCGGGGTGATCTCAGTTGGATGGGCGAGCTGCAGATGTGGAATGGCAGCGTCCATACGGGCTACTATGAGGGCGAGTGCGGCAAGGTCAATGGCAGCACGGGTGAGCTGTGGGCGCCGGGTCGCCAGTGGCACGAGACAATTTCCATATTTTTGCCAGATGCAGCGCGCTACATAAATCTGTACAGCATGGCGAATGTCACAGTTCAGGGCATCGCTGCCTGGCGCTACGAGACCAGCCAGCTGAGCTTCGACAACGGCCAACTGGCGCCGGATACGAAATGTTTTTGTGTTGCCAAACACGAATGTCCACTGAATGGTGTGCTAGATTTCTCACCAGTCGCCAAGCGCGGCCCCATTTACGTATCGCATCCGCACTTCTACATGACCGATGAGTACTATAGAAGAAATACGACGGGCCTACACCCGAATCCCGCAGAACATGGCATGTATGTGGTAATGGAACCGACACTGGGCATACCACTAAGCCTGAAGGGACAAGTTATGATCAGTGCGCTAGTGCAGCGTGACGAGGCTATCGAGTGAGTATATTTGCATATTTGTTTTATATGCTAACTATCTATCTGTGACACATATCTAAGATTTATATGTGATGCTATATTTGCATACTATTGTGAATACACTCATATGTATGTCTACAAAGTATATTCGGCATATTGCCAAGTTTTCCATAAGCCACATTAAATATTCTAATTTCAATCTGGGCTTGCATTACTTTCCGTTTCATTGACCTTCATTATGTTAAGGATTATGGAATATTAGACATTAGTGATAGTCTGTCTACATACTTTGATTACTTTTCTTTGCACCTACACAGCCGTTTCACCTTTTAAGCCGTTTCAGCTTTAGCTGCTATGCGCAGCAGCTAAAAATTGTCCTTCGTATATTCGCTCTCCCTCTCTCTTAAGCTTATTTTCACTTTTGATATGTAGCGTTCATTTACTCTGAATGCATTCATGTATATAAGCAGCTTGTCTCTCTATTCAAGTTATGACATTGCTCTGGCAACAAATTATTTTGCTCTTAAGCTAACGTTAGGGACACTGAATTTTATCAATAAATATTAAGTTAATAAAACTTAACAGACATGGCTTTATTAAAACCTTCAGTTTATGCAGAATTGTTGAAAAGGACACCAGTTACAAGATATTTTCTTACCTAATATTTTCCTGTTAATATTTATTTATTTTTTATAATAATGAAAGCATCCTTAAGTTAATACAAACAGAAAAGGGGGCGCGTCAAATATTAAGCATACGCTGCAGTCAAGCTATATATCTCCAAACGCTTTTCTAAGCGCCTCGATCTTGAGCACTACAAAAGCTATAGAGCTTAAATTATTCATATAAATGTATTCTCCAATAAACAACAAAAATCTAAAATTTTTATATTCATTTAAATTTGGATAATATTAAGCATCATCAAAATATCGCTTAGTACTCTAATTTTCTTTTTCAATTAGAGCTCGAATACTGGAGTCAAATCTACACAGATGCTGAGCATATAAATCTCTGCTTATCTTGAGTTTGATTCTGGAGAAAACACAGTTTAAACATTGTATATATATTAAATATATATAACATATGCATACCACAAAAATGTCATACATATGGTATCTTTTAGTCGAGCAACTTCAACCAACATGTTTCTTTCCTTTCTTTATTGTATATAGCAGATTTTGGGATATCTGCTAGTTTGACATACCCCACTTTTAAAGCTTTCTACAAACATAAATTCTCAATATTAATCAGTACCGGTTTTAATATAACTCTACCTGTTCAAGAATTAAGAATTTCGACAATTTAAGCCTTAATTTGCCTGAATTTTAAGTTAAGCTCAACAACCTTTATTCAGCTCTGTTGATGATTCTTCATTAAGGTCAATATTCAAGGCTAATAATGTCTCGTCTAATAATCTACAATCTATTTAAGCACATATTAGACTTTGCCTAGTCAAATAGGATTAGCATTGTAACTCAAAATCGCTAAGCTCGAGATCTTAAAATCTTTTTAAGCTGTGCTGATATGTTACTAACTACAAAATGAAATTAATTAAGCATGATTGAGCCTTCTTCATTTTTATCAATGCCTGGGTTCCAATGGGGTATTCAACTAATGTGTCACAGCTAAGCCATTATGATATCACCTCCTCGATCTAACAACTGCTTACCCTATGTCCATCGATCTTCAGCTGCATCGGCAGACACATGTTGCAGACCTCGCAGTGAAAGAAATTGTGAGCGCCGCCGATGCGGCAAATGCCACAGCCATGACAATGATATTGCTGCTTGTCCGAATCATCGAACAGAT